GGCACAATATTGGCTATATCCCGGCTACATATTGGCCCAACATTGGCTAGATCTTGGCCAAATATTGGCTATATCTTGGCCCAATATTGGCTATATCCCGGCTACATATTGGCCCAACATTGGCTATATCTTGGTTACATCTTGGCCCAACATTGGCTACATCTTGGCTCAATAATGGCTATATCTTGGCCCAACATTGGCTATATCATGGTGACATCTTGGCCCAATATTGGCTACATCTTGGCTTAATAATGGCTATATCTTGGCCCAACATTGGCTATATCATGGCTACATCTTGGCTCAACATTGGCTATACCTTGGCTCATCCTGTATTATATCCTGTCTACATCTTGGCCCAATAATGGCTATATCTCGGCTATACCTTGGCTCAGCCTGTATTATATCCTGGCTATATCTTGGCTCAAATTTTGATTTTCAGCATACAAAAAGATCCATTCTCATATCAGTCATAATATTTACAAAGTTAATTTCAAAATGTGAAAGAAATTTTAATCAAAATGTAGTAAAGCAGCAATACATTCACAAGAACTGCTCATATATTAAAATATGTATTATACCATTTATTCAAATGTAAGAAAGCTATAACTATTATAATAGATTGACGATAGAAGCATGTGGTTGTATATAAACGTTTATTGGGTCTAACTACATGTTGATAACCAGAGAGGGCGGAAATAACGAGAGACAACTATTTATATATATGTAAGGGACATCACTCAAGATAACAATATAAATATAATACTAATACAAGAAGAGTGAGTTCCCTTGACCTCACAATTATCTCAATCTATTACATCCCTTTACCCTTAGAACACAATAACACATCTCTCAATAGAACAATTGATAGTATCCTAAAATCACCAATTATATTGTAACATGAACACTATGGTAGATTACATCCTTACAAACAATGCACAATATGCTACAACATAATCAAGATACAAAACAATGATGTCAAAGTCCTTTTGACCTTTAAAATCATAGGTCTAACTTATTTGGGACTTTGATTGTCCTGCTTGACCTTCTCAGTGGCTTTTGATTTGGTGACTCAAGATTCTGACCATCTGGATTCTCTATCTCAGGAGGTCTAGGATTTAAATCATTAACTCCAGAATTTACATTTTCTGACTCCAGACAACTTGGTTCACTCATATCAACAGAACTTGGTTGTGGAACAAACTGAGTTGGTGTGAACTGTTCAGATTTGGTGGGATTGACAGATTCACACTTATTATCTGCACAAGTTATTTTTAACTTTATAAGGCACAGGTCCTGTACATTGAACAATTTGACCTGGTATCCATTTTTCCTTTCTCCCATAATTTCTTAGATACACATTCTCCTTAACACCAAATTCTCTTTCAATGCATGAGTTGTCATGATTTAATGGAACTATTTTTGAATTGGCATCTGAAAGTATTAAATGGCAAAAATCTTTTTTCTTTTCTTTTGATGTTACCCTTTTGGTTTCTTTAAGTGCTAATGATGTTTGATGATCACATTCCTTCTTACTTAAAGCATTTGAAATTGCCATATCACCATAATCATTTATTAAGTTACAAATACTTTGTTTAGGCAACTCTGACTGATAATGGACTGCATCTTCTCCATCTTTTATATTATCTTCACAAAGGTTTTTATTTCTTATTTTATATGGCCTTAAGTCATCATTCACAGACTCTTCAGGCCAACCATTCTTACAGTACTCATATACTTTTATTAAGCACTCATCTTTTTGTGTTTCTCTTTTAATATCATTCACATCTATATTGGAGTTATCCATGATAGTGAAGAGAACAAATACATCTTCTGGTACATAGCTCAGGCTTTGGTTTTTTAAAGGTAATCTACTCAGACTATCTGCACTATTCTCAGATCCAGGTTTGTATTTCAATTCATAATTGTATGCAGTTAGTGTGATAGCCCATCTTTGAATTCTTGGTGAGGCATGCTCAGGTAGGGTTTTGTTTTCTCCAAATAAACCTAGCAATGGTTTACGATCTGTAAAGATGGTGAACTTCCTACCAAACAGAAACTTATGAAATTTCTTAACACCAAAAATGATGCCTAAGCCTTCCCTATCTAACTGAGAATAATTTTTCTCAGCCTGGTTCAAAGATCTACTGGCAAAAGCAATGGGTCTGTCACCCTTCTCATCCATGTGGGACAAGACTGCTCCTACACCATCTGGTGAAGCATCACATGTTAATATAAGTCTTTTCCCTGGGTCATAGTGAGTTAGTAAGGTGTCAGAAGACAAAGCCTCTTTTGCTATATTAAAAGCAGTATCTTGTTGTTTACCCCAGTGCCAAGTTGCATTTTTCTGTAGCAGCTTGTACAGTGGTGATAGTTTACCAGACAGATTCCCTATAAACTTTGCATAGTAATTTATCAAGCCCAAAAAAGCTCTTAGTTGTTGGGTATTTTCAGGTTTGGGTGCTTCTTTAATGGCTTTTGTTTTCTCTGGTTGAGGTCTGAGACCTTGCTTGCTTAATATATAACCAAGAAAACTAATTTCTGTCAGCATGAATTGACATTTATCTTTGTTTATCTTTAAACCTTTTTCACCAACAATTTTCAATACTTTATCAAGTGTTTTAAGATGTTCAGTGTCATTCTTACCAGTTATGTACACATTGTCAAAGTACACACAAACATTTGGAATGTCCTTAAAAATACTGTCCATGACAGCTTGGAAAATTCCAGGACTAGATGATATGCCAAAACATAGCCTTTCATATTGGTAGAGTCCTTTATGTGTGTTTATTGTCGCAGAGACTTTTGAATCTGGATGTAGTTCTAGTTGAGTGTAAGCATGACTAAAGTCTAATTCAGTGAATTTGTCTCCTCCTGCCAAATTCAAAGAAATTTCCTCAATGTTAGGAATAGGGTACCTATTTAGCTCTATTTGCTTATTCAGTGTAGTTTTATAATCTCCACAAATTCTTATAGAACCATCCTTCTTTAACACTGGCACAATGGGCGTTGCCCAATCGGAATAGTCTACCTTCTTTATGATGCCATTAGATTCCAATCTACTTAGCTCATTTTCAATTTTATTCCTCATTGCATAAGGTGGAACTCTAGCTTTGCAGTATCTTGGATGTGTGTCTTTAATGCTTATCTTCACTGTTCTATCATTTAGTAAACCTGAATTGCCAAAAACACTTTTATTTTCAGATATTACTTTATCTATTGAAGTAAGACTAGATTCTCTTTCATTGTTCAATGAACAAATACTCTCCCAATTTAACTTAAGATTACTTAACCAGTTCCTACCTAGTAATGGTGGTCCATTTCCTTCAACCATATAATAGATTGACGACAGAAGCCTGTGGTTGTATATAACACATTTAATGGGTCTAACTACCACGATGGTAACACACCGAGAGGACGGAAGGAAGTACACAAGGGACATCACTCAAGATAACAATATTATAAATATAACTAATACAGAAGAGTGAGTTCCCTTGACCTCACAATTATTTCAATCTATTACAAACCACAAGAAGAGGAAGTTTAACACTTTGACCATTATAACTTACATGAACCATACACTCTCCTATTACCGGAACATTGTCACCAGTGTATGTTGTTAGACACTTGTGACATGGCTGTAGAGGCACTGATCCTCCTGTGACAGCGTCAAAATCTTTCTTTGTTATGACTGTTAGAGATGCTCCAGTGTCAAGTTGGAAGCTGATGCTCTTACCGTTGATATTAACTGGTACATTGATGGGAGCATGACTTATTGATTTTACAGAGAACAGGCTGAAATCCGGCTGCGAATCAGTTTGAGCATTTTCACAGGTAGAGTGGTTCATTGGTTGGGTTAGGTAGTCTTGGTGAGAGTTAACTTAGTGCTGCCTTTGGTTGCGGTACTGTCCTGACTGGCTAGATTTAGCAACAGACGAAGACTTTGCAAAGCAGGCCTTGGCAATGTGACCTTGCTTACCGCACTTATAACAAGTTGCTAACTTGAACTTGCACCGATGAGATGCATGGGGACCTTTGCATCGATGACATTTTTGATAATTATTACTAGATTTAGATCTAGGATTTGAACGAGCAGGCTGTTTAGCATAAGTTGGAATGCTCTGATGGGGTTGATGTTTATTGACTAACCTGCTGTTTACTGCATGGATCTCTGAAGGTGCTAGAGATTTTGCCGCATCTGATGACTGCTGGACTGAAGTCGCAAGTTGTATTGCTTTTTCTAATGTTAGATCTGACTCGAGCAGCAACTTTCTTTGAATATCAGGGCTGTTTACACCTGTCACAAACTTTTCACATAGTCTGTCAGACAGCGTATCGCCGAATTCACAAAATCTACTTAAATGACGTAAAGCAGCAACATATTCTGATATTGACTCGTTTGGTTGACGAGTCCTACCGTCAAATCTAGCTCTACATAAAAACTTTGATGGTACAGGCGCATGGTGGTCTGTTAGCAATTTGCTCAGCTCGTTAAAGCTCTTGGTAGTTAGACTAGCTGGTGCGCATAAGTCTTTTAGTAGCCTAAATTGTTGAGGCCCTATGACTGTTAACAAAACAGCTCTCTTTTTGGCTTCTATCGTCACGTCGTTAGCTTCAAGGTAAAAGCTTAACCTATCTAGGTAATCTTGAATGATTTCATCATTCGAATCAAATTCTTTTATTTGGCCATACAGCGCCATTATTCTAGAAATACTTAGCTAATAAGCTCTAGCAAACCTCTTTTTTGCGTAAGTAGGTGCTCTTTCTAGTAGATTATTTATCCTTCGTCGCCAATGTGTTAGATTGTAATCACTGACGAGGAGCCACATTGGTTGTTAACAGTCTTTATTTACAGCCATGATGGAAAGAGGAAGGAAGTGGCGAGAGACAACTATTTATATATATGTAAGGGACATCACTCAAGATAATAACATAAATATAATACTAATACAGAAGAGTGAGTTCCCTTGACCTCACAGTTATCTCAATCTATTACAAAAACAAATATGTAAATAATAGTGTAGTAACTTTCATTTTGCTTTTATACAAACTAATTAAAACAAATATACAAAACATTTTCATATAATGTAACAGATGTTAAGTACAGTTTAAATTAAACTAATGTAAAAACTTAATTTACTGTACACGAATACAGAAGCTGTCTTGTACTATGATACGTAAACATATCATTAAAAATAAAAAGTATAAAATATTTGTCTAACAACATTTAATTGCATAGCTTGTTTAAGTATTCTAATTAAGGTAGATTACAGTTTAATGCTGGACGAGTCTACCTTGTCCATAAATAACAGAGCTAAAATATGTTCAGGATCTCTAGATTATAGTTTGTGGTTAAATAGTGTTGAAATGAATGCCATTGTGTATACAAAATGTACAATCTTTCAAAAGACCGATGGTTCGAGGGTTTATACGCATTGTGTAGATCAGGAATATCACTGCGATATTCAATAAATATGTTTTTTTTTGCCTCGAGTGTGAGGTATTTAATTATAGTACAGTTAATATATTAATTTACTTCATTAATTAGAAATAAATATCACCAGCAGAAGTATTGTCAATACAAATGTAGCAAACTTTTTTCAGATTGTACAGTGAAACAAAATAATGAAAGAAATTTGCAACTAATTCTTTAAAGAAAAAAATGTACCTATATTGTATATTGCATTTCATTTAGGACACTAAATCTACACTAAACATATATACAATGCAAACTTAAATTATTATATTATTACAAAAGGAAACAATTTATTAATTTACAAATCAGCATTTTTCTTAGACTATTTTGGTAAGAGAATCTTTTCTTTTTGTTAAGTATTTAAATGCAATTTGTATGAAACTGTTAAACTGATCCAACTGATAAAAAAAATTGAAAATCTGATCTAAAATTATTACGAAAATCACTGTTGTCCTCATTCTTGTTGACCCTTGTGGAGCTGAGAGACACAACCACACCTCTCTCTTTTTATACTTGGTTTTGGGAGATTCCCCAAAGTTGGGTCCATGACATTCTGCCTGCTTGTGCTTTGTTGGTTTCTGATATTTTCCATGTTTGTTTTGGATAACAGACTTTCTCTTTCCTTTGGGATTCAAATCCAATATAAGCCTGGTTGTTGATTTGTGCAAGGTATGTCATAATCCATCCACATTCTAAAAAAGAAAAGTTACACACTAAAAGATATTTATGAAACAATTACAACTATACACTGCTCTTTTTGCACTAAATTTGCTAGTTTCATTTTCTTTTGCACTGCACTAAACATACAACAAGAAGCCCCTAACATCATGTTTGCTACCTTGTAACGATATATTATATAGGTATAAAGACTGGTGGTCAGGGGTGTTCATGCTACCCAGGTAAATAATAAAAAGTGGCCATATATAATTTTAATAGTAGAACTGCAGTTCCTTGCTGCCCAATAGGATCCTTTACAATATGTGTTCACTTATATGTTTACACTTATACTATATATATATATATATATATATATATATATATATATATATATATATATATATATATATATATATATATATAGTTACCTGTGTTATATATGTATATTTTTATAAACAAAAGTGAAAAAAAGACCTTGTAATAAAAATAAAATAGTATGTATATAAATATTATAAACCCCTTACCCTATGCCTCTGAGTTAAGAAGGTGCCAGACAATTTTTGAGCAATTTCATCAACTTTATCATTTCAGTAATTGAACGATTGGACCCTTCAGAGTGACCCAGAAGTAATGCTTGTGGTCTGAAATTATTTTACTAATATCAGTAAAGGCATTAACTACACATGCTGATCATTAAATGCAAGCAAAAATTACTAAATGAATATTATTATTCACTTTGAAACAATGTAAACTTACAGTTATTAAGTGTTAAGAACATTTAGTAATCTTCTGGTGTAGCCAGCATTTGGTGAAGTATCAAGCAGTGGAGACCTTATAATTTATTAAAAGATTGATATATCTCCAGTGGGCTGATTGATACACACAACACCTGGAGGCCTGAAAAGAAATGGCATTCTTTGTTATTAAATATAATAATAAAATGAATGGGTAATACAATAAATGATAGCCAGATTAGATACTCCATTTTTAAGACTATTAATAACAATGTACTAATTGTGGACAATGATACATCAAACCCAAGCTTAATCCTACACAAAACTCCAAATATGATACTATCATTTTATAGTACATAAGTATCATAAGAATGTCTAAAAATGTCAAGTTCCCTTTCTAGCGTGTGCCAATAGGACAAGGTATGTACAGTATCTCTGTTTATTTGATCTCTGTATATAAAGGATTGTGTAGTCAGCACTATATCTAGCCACCTTTTTATTTCATAGTCTTAAATCGGGTATATATCAGAGTTAGGTGAACAAATGAATGTACTACTAACTTGGCTTTATGTTTAGCAATAGTGTCCTCAACCATTTGCCTACTCTGTCCTTTATATGATAATATGAGTAGTGTTGATCAATAAGTAGGACTTACGAATAGTACCACCTTACCGCTGTTGGTCATGAAATTAAGTGTTGCTCTGAGGTCTCCACACTACTATTTACATCAGAGTTTCTTCCAGGCATCTCTTCGGGGGGGCTTCGCCCCCCCCTCCCCGAAATTTTTTTACCGCCCCCCCCCCCCCCCCGAACGAAATGAAATTTATATAATTTATATAGAAAATATATACTTTTAACAGTGTCCGCCCCCCCCCCCCCCGAAGAAAGTTTACCGCCCCCCCCCCCCCCCCCGAAGATTTCAAGTGCCCCCCCGGAGAAAAAAGTCTGGAAGAAACACTGGGCCCAATGCAGATTTTAGTTCAACAGTGAGAGGTTTTAGTAGTATAACTTTATCTAATCTAGATCTAGATCTATAGATCTATATTCTATATATTATATATATATAGCCTACAGAATCTGGAAATCTGGTATTTTTTTGTTGGAAACTTCATGTCATTAAATAAAAAGTAGTTTATTTGAGGTAATAAAATGAGCCTATAGATAGATAGGCCTATTATTAATAGGCCTACTTATTATTATTATTAATAATAGTATTAAATAGTATTAATAGATCTAATCTAGTCTAGTAATGTCAATACTAGACTAGATCTAGATCTAGATTCTAATACTAGTTCTAGAACTCTAGATCTAGATCTAAATAACTAAAAATCGTAATCAGAGTGATGTTAATTTTGACAGCGTTTTTTGTGTATTGAAAAGTATGCAAGTATCAAGCACAGAGGGGGGGGGGGGTACATATTAATAAATAATCATTCACTTTAACTTTTAAAAAACCTTAATTTTATTGTATTATATTAGTGTAAGGATTTGAAACTGTCTTTACTATTAATTCAGAGAGAGAGAGGAACAGTAGACACAATTAAACAATTATAGAACAAATTTCTAAATGTTAATTAAACAAACAGTGTGAGTGTATTTTGATACTATTGATAGGTATTCATTTTGAAGAAAATTAACTTAGTCAACTAGAATTCTAAATTGATTCAAGATTGTCATTCAAATTCCTATTACTGTTACAGCTTCCTCTGAGAGAATAAGATGTAAATCAGTGTTTCTTCCAGACTTTTTTCTCCCGGGGGGCACTTGAAATCTTCGGGGGGGGGGGGGGTGGTAAACTTTCTTCGGGGGGGGGGGGGCGGACACTGTTAAAAGTATATATTTTCTATATAAATTATATAAATTTCATTTCGTTCGGGGGGGGGGGGGGGCGGTAAAAAAAATTTCGGGGGGGGGGGGATTCGCCCCCCCCCCCCCCGAAGAGATGCCTGGAAGAAACTCTGATCGTGAAAGATTTTTATGTGTAATGGTTTCTCGAGGTATGTTTATTTATTTTTTTATTTTATTTTTTATTTATATTATTAATTTTAAAATACATTTCCACTGCATACTATGTCATTCTTTAGTATGTATTTTTTTTAAAATAATAATTAAGAGAAGTAATTGCTTTTTAATTTGTTTAGTACAAATCTATTAACAGGAGCGTATAGGCACCCCTATTTAACTTTTTTTAAAAGGGAAATAAGTCGTGGAAGTGTTTTGAACGTAAGCCTATCTTTCACACTACAGCTTATGGTTTAAAAACAAATGGAAAAAGAATATACAAACAGTGTTTCTTCCAGACTTTTTTCTCCGGGGGGGCACTTGAAATCTTCGGGGGGGCGGTAAACTTTCTTCGGGGGGGCGGACACTGTTAAAAGTATATATTTTCTATATAAATTATATAAATTTCATTTCGTTCGGGGGGGCGGTAAAAATTTTTCGGGGGGGCTTCGCCCCCCCGAAGAGATGCCTGGAAGAAACTCTGTATACAAAAGCGTGGGATGGTGTCTACAGAATAAAGATAATCCAGCTGCACTGCAGTATTCTTTTACGAAACATCCATCAAGTCAAAAATGCAAGAAAATTATTTTTTTTAAACTATAAAAAGTTGATTATGGTCGGCTGAGGCCCCTAAATGGCGTGCCCCCCCCCCCCCCGCGTGGTTTTTGGCACTGTAGTTCCGCCCCTGCATTTGACCTATATTTGCTATACACACAAAGCACGTGAACAAATACTGTCAAATAATGATAGTTTTCAGCCGTTTTATATTCTTACATGCTCAATGAAGCTGCTGTTGGTACTTGATGTCACTGGTGTGGGTAATCACTGCTATTGTTGATGTTACCCAATGTTTCTGCTTTTGGTACTACGTGCTACTAATGTTGTACTCGAATGATACTGCTATGGATTACCAATGACAGTGCTGTAGCTACCTATTGCCGCTGCTATGGGTACTCAGTGCTTAAACAGTGGGTACTGAGTGTTGAAGCCATGTGTACTGAGTGCTGAAGCTGTGGATACTCACTGTTGAAGCTGTGGGTACTCAGTGTTACTGTAGTCGGTTCTTGGTGTCACAGCTGTGGGTACTCAGCGCTGGCGCTGTTGCTAATCGATAACGTTGCTGTGGGTACTCAGCCTTAGCAGTGGGTACTCAGTATCACTACTGTGGGTACTTAGTGCTGAATTTGTGAATGCTCATTGTCACTGATGTTGATACATAGTGCTAAAGATGTGGGTACGTAATAACACTGCTGTCGGTACTAAATGCCAATATAATGCCACTGACGTAGGTATTCAATAGCACTGCAATTGGTCGTTTTTGTCAGTATTCAACCTCACTGTATTTATTCCGAGGTGTAGATCTATGCTCAGGGTTATTATTGTCAAGGTCGTTGTGAAGACGTTTCTTTGGTGGTATCCAGGATAGTGGTATGGAGGGGAGGGGGCGCTTTTTCACCAACAAAAACCGCAGGATTTGTACTGGATCAGTGAGTAGATAACGCTTTTAACACTTAGAAAAGAAACCAATTGTATTAACGCTTAAATTAATCATTTCACTACCCAGTTTTGCCAAGAAATGACGCGACTAGTTCTTTGTACGATTCTTACGATTCTCTCAACTTCAACGTGAGAGATAAGTTACTTTTACTTGATTACATTGCATCTTACCTTGATCTGGATCGCTGCATTAAAGAGAAATCACGGATTATTGTAAAATAGCAGACTGTCGGAGCGGGTTGATGGAAAGCGACACTCTTTGCCAAAATTTTAAGAGAGAAGAAAATTAGTATATTGTACTAAATAGATCATTTTGTATTGCTTTTTCCATAACACTTTGTTCGACCTAACTGATAATTTAAAATTGTAATATACTATTGTTCTAAAGACACGACCAAAAGTAAACCAAATAAGCTTGCACCTTCTACAAAGTACATTCTAAAGCAGTGGTTCTTAACCTTTTGGAGGGACCGGAATTCCGAACCCCACCAGTTTCATATGCGCATTCACCAAACCCTTCTTAATAGTTGTATCGTCCATACTGACACAATCCGACCGTGAATCATATGAGTCGGTTGTGTGTCTTGACCTCCGCGGAAGCCCTGAGACTGAATTACCGAACCTCTCTGGTTCGATGTAACCCACTATTCTAAATTCTTTTTATTCGTTTCGGCTTCCTGAGGAGCATAGGCGTTGACAACATTTCGTCAAGTGACTTAATTTTTATGAAGATCGAAACCTAAAAATCCAGCCTCTTCTTCTCTATTTCAAACGATTTCCTTCATGGCTTATTTTGTATTTTTCTCTTCCTCTCTCCCCGTAGACTTCACACAAGCACCTGCATAGTGATGTTATTTTTTGTCTTTCTCATATTGTGCCCTTACCACCACTTTTTCATTCTCCACTGTCTTTTAACCTAGTTCCGAGCAATACAGTAAAAGATACATCATATTGAATTTTTTTGACAATGCATTTGAATTCCACATGGAATGTTAATACTGATTCGCTGCTAATTCTAATCAGAAGGTCATGGGTGGTGCAACTATCATTTAACCGATTGTTACTGCTACTTCAACCAGTACAACTTTTTCTGAATTAGTAGTTGACTGTGTGCGAGAATGCAGCGCACATCTGCTAAATCCAAGACTTCGAGCTGTTGAGTCCGTTGAATTCCAGTTTGTTTCCTCTAGCTCAGGGATCGGCAACCTGCGGCTCGCGAGCCGCATGCGGCTCTTTTGATATCAAGATGCGGCTCTCCAGCTCCTTGAACAAATACTAATAATCTTAATAAAAAAATAAAATATTTGAAATAAAAAAAATGTTAGTGGCTTTTTTAAACCAGGGAAATTTTGAAAATTGTAACTTTTGGCTCTTCCGTTTCAAAAGGTTGCCGACCCCTGCTCTAGCTTGTTTCAATATACAATCAACCAGCAGAGGCATGGCTGGGGGTGGGGGGACGGCCATCCCAGGCGCCGACCCTAGGGGGGGTTATTTATGGATGACCCCAAAACAAAGATAAGTAAACGTACATACAACCGAATCATTGTTATTATATACTTTTTGATTATTTGTAGAATACAGGATAAGTTAGAATAGTAGTTCTACCAATACAACAAACGAACATTTTACACCATAAAATCACAATGGATTGAGGGGCCCTAATCAATGCTATAAAGAAGCAAAAGTCGTCTTAATATCAAGCGGCCTCTTTTCAAAAGAATTTTGCCGACAACAGTGTGTTTGATTGTATGAGAAAGAGAACTCGGCTTTCACAATGGTTTAAAAATAAAGGAAAAAAGAATATACAAGAGCGTAAGATGGTGTCTATAGGACAAAGACAATCCAACCGCGGCTACAGTATTGTTTTTACAAACAACCATCATCATCAAGTCAAAATTGCAAGTAAATTATTTTTTTTTTAACTATAAAAAATTGATTATGGTCGGCTGTGGGCCCCTAAATGGCGTGGGCACTGTAGTTCCGCCCCTGGCACCTTCTACAAACTACACTCTAAAGCAGTGGTTCTTAATTATTTTTTTTAAGGTATCGAACCCCATCAGTTTCATACGCGCATTCACCATACCCTTCTTAATAGTTGCATGTGATGTTATTTTCTGCCTTGTTGATAATGTACCCCAACCACCACCTTTTCAATCTCCATTGTTTGTAACCCCTCCGAGCCGTACAGTAAAAGAGACTTTATATTTCGCTGTACATGCTGATTGAATTTTTTTAACAATGTATTTGAATTCCACATTGGCTTAGAATGTAATAACACATTTTACCGTTGCTGATTCTAATCTGAACGTTATAGGCGGTGCCACTAAAATAAAACGTTTATTACTGCTTCTTCAACCAGTACAATTTGTTCTGCATTTGTTGTTGAGTATGACTGCGCGCATCTGCACAATCCAAGTATTTGAGCTGTTGTGCCCGTTTTATTCCAGTTTGTTTCCTCTAGCTTGTTTCATTATACAATCAACCAGTCAACGAAATACCCATGTCGTATTCCAATGTCGTAACTTAAAAGGCTGGTTTAAACTATTTGCACCTGCTACAAACTTCCCTCTATAAACTCAACAGTTAAAAGGAAATTGACTACAGGATGGGAGTAATCCTTCCAGTTGCCTGGAATCACAATAGAATAAATAGTATTTCCTTTGATAAAATTAACAGTGTAATCCACCCTATCGCTTGGGAAAGAGTTCACTCCCTTTGTAGATTAAGATAAAAGTATTTATATTATTTAATAGCCATCAAATTCTTTCTCCATCAAGCAGAATTTAATATTAAGTTAAGAAACGCTATTACTTATGATATTCTTAGGAGCAGAGTTTATTTGACTTAGGCAAATGATTTAATGTTTGATGTAACATACAGTAACAAATATCTTTGCTTAAAAACTCCAGTCTGCTTGGTACATTAATATAATACAAAACTGGGTTAACCACAAGAAAAAAAAATATCAGCAACTATGATTTAAATGGATTTTCAGAAACGGGAGTGTAATCTATTTTAATGATAAATAACAACATGTAAGAAACAACTTATTTTAATTTTTTATTTTACTTTTTAAAAATGGCATGCTAAGATGTCAAAAAAATGATGCTTGCATAACAAAAGTCATAATAAATATCAATGAACATATTTTGCATTATCTATATATTTCAAAATTTAGGACTTAAATAAAGTGGAAAAAAAACATACTCTAATTTTCAGGCAGATAATTGTTTGTGTAACTTTGATAGAAATATTACAATTTTATTTTAGACTAAATCAATCATTTAATAAGGCAAAATCCTTTCATCACAGGTTTCTTTTTACATAAGGTACACAAGAAAACAATAGAATATGGATCTTATTTCTGTTAGATAGATGTATACAACAATTATTTTTTTAAAGCTATAATAATGAGAATTAACTATTAAAAAAATGTCAACAACAGTATAATATATCAAAAAATCATAAATATATTAGCACCTCTTGAACTGAGTTACAGAAACATTTTCTGGTGATTCACATTTTAAAAGATTTTACAAGTTTAAGGTATAAAATATAAATGAAATTTTGTACTGTAAGAACATACAAAGGATGTTAACCAATCTTATTTTAGAGAGCATACAAAAATTATTCAAAGAGGCATGCTGGTTATCTTACTTAGTAACTTAAGGTGATTCTTACAATAGGAATTGACAGACTAGACTATTGTAATCTATATATATATATATATATTATATGTTTCTCTTGTAAGTTTCAAATTACTGGAATTAATAAGAACAGGTAAAATCTATTGTATATGTGTATTCAACACAACTATCACACAGTGAAAACTAAAAAAATAATCTAAGTTATTTTAGGGTATGACTTTTCATATTTGTGGTACTCATCACGAGACAATTTGGGAATTTTTGGCCACCACTTCAGACTGATAGTGATTCTTGCAGTATAGTATCTTTTCAGCTTGAGCATAATTTTGCAAACTAGAAAAATAAGCATATTTATTAGTATTTACTTTTATTTTTTTCTTTGAATGAGCCAATATTATCTACAAATACATACAACAGAAACTTTATCTACAAATACATACAACAGAAACTTTATCTACAAATACATACAACAGAAAATGTATCTACAAATACATACAATATAAACTTTTTTTTTTACAAATATGTACAACAGAAACTTTATCTACAAATACATACAACAGAACTTTATCTACAAATACATACAATAGAAACTTAACTAAAACCAATGTCATGTCTCAATGGTATCAAGATGTGTGATTTTAAGTGTATTATCTGTATTAAGTGCCATGGACATTGTCTGATTTTCAAAAGGTCAAAATGTGGAATATCTTGATTTACTACAATGTTGTTTGTAGCTTAGCTTTTGGAAATGTCTAATCTTTATGATTTCATTTGATAATATCTAGAATTTTTTAAAAAAGCTTCAACTGCAAATCTGAACAAATTATAAATAAACTATGAATTGTAATTACAGTCTGAGCTAAGTTCATGTTCAAATTATAGGCTTACACTAATGCTGAGAGTACTGACAAAGTAATGTTATTTATTTCAGCTCAAGGGGTAAACCCAGAGGCGTAGCGAGAGGGGGAGGGGGGTACATATGTATCCGGGCGCCGACCTTAGGGGGCGCCAAAATGGGTTGGAAAAACAAATTAAAATGAAATTTTAGCTGCATTTTTGCATTATAAATAGTTTGAGGGGGGTGCAAATGAAGTTTGCTCCTGAGGGGGGGGGGGAGGGGCGGGCAAATAAAAAGTTTGTCCCCGTGGTCGCTACGCCTCTGGGTAAACCTATCCCACCCCCCTCCAAAAAAAACAAACCTAAAGCCTACAGGCTAAAATGAATTTAGGCAAGGGTGAGCCCATGATAGTATATCTAAAACGTAGCCTGAATAGCATTTGCTTGGTCTTAAAGATAGAGGGGCTGTTTAAGGGACATCTTGCAGTGAGAACAATTGAGGCACTGGGAAAGGTGAGAGGGGCTGTATACTTACTTAAGGGACATCTTGCAGTGAGAACAATTGAGGCACTGGGAAAGGTGAGAGGGGCTGTATACTTACTTAAGGGACATCTCGCAGTGAGAACAATTGAGGCACTGGGAAAGGTGAGAGGGGCTGTATACTTACTTAAGGGACATCTCGCAGTGAGAACAATTGAGGCACTGGGAAAGGTGAGAGGGGCTGTATACTTACTTAAGGGACATCTTGCAGTGAGAACAATTGAGGCACTGGGAAAGGTGAGAGGGGCTGTATACTTACTTAAGGGACATCTTGCAGTGAGAACATTTGAAACACTGGGAAAGGTGAGAGGGGCTGTATACTTACTTAAGGGACATCTTGCAGTGAGAACAATTGAGGCACTGGGAAAGGTGAGAGGGGCTGTATACTTACTTAAGGGACATCTTGCAGTGAGAACAATTGAGGCACTGGGAAAGGTGAGAGGGGCTGTATACTTACTTAAGGGACATCTTGCAGTGAGAACAATTGAGGCACTGGGAAAGGTGAGAGGGGCTGTATACTTACTTAAGGGACATCTTGCAGTGAGAACAATTGAGGCACTGGGAAAGGTGAGAGGGGCTGTATACTTACTTAAGGGACATCTTGCAGTGAGAACATTTGAGGCACTGGGAAAGGTGAGAGGGGCTGTATACTTACTTAAGGGACATCTTGCAGTGAGAACAATTGAGGCACTGGGAAAGGTGAGAGGGGCTGTATACTTACTTAAGGGACATCTTGCAGTGAGAACAATTGAGGCACTGGGAAAGGTGAGAGGGGCTGTATACTTACTTAAGGGACATCTTGCAGTGAGAACAATTGAGGCACTGGGAAAGGTGAGAGGGGCTGTATACTTACTTAAGGGACATCTTGCAGTGAGAACAATTGAGGCACTGGGAAAGGTGAGAGGGGCTGTATACTTACTTAAGGGACATCTCGCAGTGAGAACAATTGAGGCACTGGGAAAGGTGAGAGGGGCTGTATACTTACTTAAGGGACATCTTGCAGTGAGAACAATTGAGGCACTGGGAAAGGTGAGAGGGGCTGTATACTTACTTAAGGGACATCTCGCAGTGAGAACAATTGAGGCACTGGGAAAGGTGAGAGGGGCTGTATACTTACTTAAGGGACATCTTGCAGTGAGAACAATTGAGGCACTGGGAAAGGTGAGAGGGGCTGTATACTTACTTAAGGGACATCTTGCAGTGAGAACATTTGAGGCACTGGGAAAGGTGAGAGGGGCTGTATACTTACTTAAGGGACATCTTGCAGTGAGAACAATTGAGGCACTGGGAAAGGTGAGAGGGGCTGTATACTTACTTAAGGGACATCTTGCAGTGAGAACATTTGAGGCACTGGGAAAGGTGAGAGGGGCTGTATACTTACTTAAGGGACATCTTGCAGTGAGAACATTTGAGGCACTGGGAAAGGTGAGAGGGGCTGTATACTTACTTAAGGGACATCTTGCAGTGAGAACATTTGAAACACTGTTTGTGAAAAGGGACACCTCCTGCCTCAATCTTTTCTTGGGCATAAACTGTCTTATCACAAATTCCACATTTGTCACCTCCTCCCTAAAATACAACAATATAATATATATATATATTAGTATCAGGTAAAGATGTTTTCAATTTTAGAAATTCAAATGATGTGACTTAATTTACATGAACTGTAAGCCTACTTATTTAGGATAAAATGTTTATCAAAAAAATAGCACCAATGTGGGTGGGGTTTCAACATCCACAAGAGGGGGACTATGACTAGCATATCTTGAAGACCCTCACCTAGAATGACCAATTTAAAAGAAAAAGAGGCAGGCCAAGAATAAGGTGGAGATGCGACTTAAACTTGAAAAGTGATACAAAAAAGATGGATCACCACTAGGGACATTTAGAGAAACTAACTTATGACTAAGTAGCCTATAACCAAGTAGATGGTCTAACTAACAAACAAACTTTGTTAAAAGATGGAACTGAGATCTAGATCTAGGTGTCTGAGTTGAAACGGTGTAGTGTTAAAGTTAAACTAAGAACATCATTATGAGATAAAACGAGAGATGTAACCAAACATTTTTTAAAATACATAAAAACGTTTTAAAAACAAGCTTCTATATTTTATAATAATGCACTAAAAAGGAGAAAAATAAATGATTTACTTTAAATAGGCTTATGTAATAATAATAATACACTACTATTTTTTAAAGCTATCAAGAAAAGCGTAGGTCACTATATTTTTATCTTTTGGATACCTTTACTAATATTTAGGAAGAAATTATTAAAACGCTTTTTATGCATTTTTACTTTCTCGTATAATATTGATCTAGGAAGCATTGTAATCGTGCACAAAAATCACATGCATTGTGAGCAAGGGTGTTGGTTGTGTTTGATATGACTGTAACCGTTGTTCAGTAACTTAGCAATTAAGGCATCGATTTGTATGAGACATTTTGAAATTTCTCTAAACAGTGTCACACCTAACCCTTGACGGATGATGGTGTATAAACTATGAACTGTAAAATTTGCAACCTTTTCAGTTGGTTACCGCCCCCCCCCCCCTCGTTTTCCGTAGGTAGCATATCTATATATATAATTCTCTTCTTCGAGCCGTTAGAAAACAAGCTGCAAACGCTCTCCCTACCTCCCCACCCCTACATGGTTTTAGTGAGCTGTGTTCACTCTAAATGTTTACAAGCAGAGCCAACGATTTTAAACGTAGGGGGGGGGGAGGGGGGGAGGAAGGGGGGGGGTATGGTCCTTAACGAGCTACTTATAGTGTTTTAAAGAAATATTTTCAGTGTCAGCGTTGGTACTGTCGAATTCACAAATTATGAATTATTGAAAATTAGAAACAACTAAATAGCGGCGTAATAGCACTAACACTTTCCCTTAGACTTTCGTGTAACACACATTAGGCGGGGCTATTTACAGCGGAATGGTTTTATTTGGCATGCAATTTTTTTTTTCCTTTCAGAAATTTACATCAAATTATTACCGAAGTTTTTTTTTACGTTTATTGATAAGGCTGCAGTCAAATTTATAAGGCCACTTAAAGTAAATTAGAAAGCGTGTGAGTTCAGTGCTTCATGTGGGCGTAACCGAGTTAAAAGAAAACAACAACCAGGATTGTGACGTCATCAGTTAAGTAGTGAGAACGTAGGCTTGACTTAGAGCCTAGTCATTATCAGGAACACCCAAGTTCAATAAGACCAGTACTTTGTAACAGATTTGAGATAGCAACAAGTTTGTCTAGTTTGAAATGATCGATACAAGACGTGAAGAAAGGAAAAAAACGACCTCTTCGCGCAGTGCATTTCTTATCTATGTGACCTTTACACGGGAGATGTTAAAAGGTTGAAACGTTCTGCTTCCCAACAGCTCACATTCTCAAGACAACTCGACATTCTATTTATAGAATTTTAACCGACTAGTCATTTGAAAGCTAAACGGTGGTAAATAGCTTGAGGTCACAGATGTGTACGAGTACAAATACCAGTGTAGTAGGCCTAGGCTAGGGGCAGCGATTGTGTTGAATCACCTGGCGAGAAATAGCTCATATGTGTTCAGTCATTGGGCGTGGACAAGGCGATGAGTCACCATTTGAAACTGGTTCAGCTGAGTATAACTGGCAATCAGGTTACATACCGATAAATATTTTAATTACTCAACCCTATTAATAATAATAGATACCCCCCCCCCTTCATGTAATGCAAATGAAAAAAAATGTTCTTGCTTTGATTCATCAAGGAAAAATACTCAATAGATTTAATAACCTTTTTTTTTAAGCGGCTTAAACAATAATGAATTATTACTCTTATTTAATGCCCTTTGATGAACTTGCCTAAGAGATCTTCACAGTGCCGAAAGAAATAATTTCACAGACTCATCGGATATCTAAATCTAGGCTTAAACTGTCCATCTCAAATAAGCCGACAGCTAATAAAATGTCCACACAAATTGTGTTTAAAGCTTCAACTAATGTGAAATTTATTTTTTATTTATATAACAATTTACAAAGTATGAACAATAGAGTATAATATTAATACGTAGGTATATTCTACAATTAACAGGAATATAGATCTATGCCCTATTCCTATTACTATCTCAGTATCTATAAGTGAAACAATAAAATATTGTTTAAGGAAATCACAAATAATTAACTAGTATACTAATGCAGTGAGGTCTATATACCTATAGATAGATTATAGAATGTAGATCTAGGTGTTATAAATAATAATATATTAAAAATAGATCAAATAAACATTAAATGGCCTCTAACCTTATCCTTAGGGCTTACCACTTAATGCTGCTTAAATTGGCTTTAATTTTTTTAAGTAATGGAGACAAGCGAGTTGACGAGATTCCTTCCATAGTGTTGTTGTCATGGAATAAAAACGTGCTTTTTAGATTTAGACCGTAAAAAAAAAAATAAAAAATAAAAACTTAAGCCTAAAATTAATTTAGAAATTTTATATTTTTAGAATAAATGCTATAAAAGTTGTAAATCCAGAGAACTTGAAAATAATTTGTTGAGTTTAAGGCTACATTTCTATTTATTTTCATCAAGCCTAAGTTAAAACCGGATGTTTCACTTTCGTAAGACAAATATTGATTGGCTGTACAGTAACTTAGTGATCGATAACTATTTGTTTACAAAACTTTGCAGATCAAGTTTTTAAATAACAATGCAAATTAAAAACCCCATTACCTAGTTTTCTATTTTTAGCTTACAATGTGTACAATAAAATCAATGTCGGCCTATCCAATAGCAGGATGCCATTGTTTATGTCGCCATTACACGTGAAAACCAAATTGTTTTGGCTTGTTTTTAAATTTTCAATTAGTTACCGAAAATTTTTAAAACATCAAATAGAACCAATCTTTAGTAAAGTCCGAAATAAACCAGACAGACAGGATTTTATAACCATATTAATTGTAACTACGCCGTGCCTGATTTTTAAACTAATTTATACACCTCTCAAATACCTTTGAGAGTTTTCTCGCTCGTGTCCAATGCATATAGATTCTAGATCTAGACTAGATCTAGATTCTAGTGTCTAGATCTAGATCTAGATCTAGATTCTAGAAGTCTACATGAAGTCGATAAAAGTACTTACAAATTTAGGTGCCATTATAGGAGTTGCTTGTAAAGAAGTCTTTTGTTGGTTTTTTTTTTTTTAAATACTGCTAAGCCAAAGAACTAGACCTAGAGATCTTGATAACAATAGAAAGTGTGTAAACGCTTGTTACGGTCTAGAGGCGGACTATGCTTCTATGTGAAAAGTAAGATGTAGGCCTAACGGCAATTCGCCCACACAATCCTTTTTTATCCCCAATAGCATTGCGCACGACACTAACCTTTACAACGTTTTGCACACGAGTCAATAGTCTAGTGTAGGCTAGCTAGGACCTAGGCCTATAAACTGCACTCGCCAAATTCTATTTATTTAGATCTATTAGTATTTGACTGTAAATTAGTGTAAATTAAAAGCATCTCTGCTGTTATTGATATTTTGTTTGGCGGGAGAGAGATTGTTCAATAAATGCTTCAAAGAAAACTAAAAGGACATTTAAAGTTGTGTTGCTTCTGGATTTACAATTTAAACCAGTTTTAAGTGAGCGTATTTTACTGCAGTGGCGTAGCAAGGTCGGGTGTCACCAGGTCCGGCACCTAATGGTGTCATCCCCCTCCCCACCCCCAAAGAAAAAAAATTATATATATATATATACATACATACATATATATATATATATATATATATATACATATATATATATATATATATATATATATATATATATATATATATATATATATATATATATATATATATATATATATATCAGAGGCGTATCCAGGTTTTCGTTGTAGGGGGAGTGAAAAGAGCAAAAAAGGCTCCGAATTTTTAACACGTTCTATATACGTGTATTATATATATATATATATATATATATATATATATATATATATATATATATATATATATATATATATATATATATATATATATATATAATTACTAGCTGTATGTCATTACTTCGCTATGATGTAAAAACAAGTTAATAAAAAGTCTAGTGACAATTTAAGCGCAATTTCCTTAATTAAGTTTTTGTGACGGAACGAAAGGATATTTTTGAAAACTTTCTTCGGCAATATTGGTTTAAATTATGGCAGGAATCGATTGGTAAATGTTTCAAGTCGCTAAGTGGTCTGGTTGCCGAGATATGGGCCAAAAACTGCATTTTTTCGAGGTTTTTTGGCTTTTCGGGGAAATCCAGGAAGGAATTCCGGGAATTTTTTTGGCCCACAATCACCCTCGGAACCTGCTTAACATATTTGCTTTGGAACTAGTCCTCGATATTGCTTCGTTGAGGAGGAGATACGACTTAAAGCGCGGACACACATCCATCCCTATACGAGTTAATAATCGCAATTGCCAGTATGGAAATTGCGCTAAAAATTGAAAGTAGCACTCTGAAGAAATAAGAGAAAAAAATTCATAAAAAAACGTTTTAATAACAAGCTTTTATGTAATAATGCACTAAAAAGTAGAAAATAAATTATAGACAACTATGTAAATAACTATAAAGAAAAGCGTGGGTCACTTTAGTATCTATTGGAAACCTTAACTAATGTTAAGGAAGACACCCACGCTTTTCTTTATAGTAGTCTATAATTTATTTTCTACTTTTTAGTGCATTATTACATAAAAGCTTGTTATTAAAACGTTTTTTTTTATGAAAAATTTTTTCAGTACTTTACATGTTTTATTTACAATAGTGTTACATGACTAAAAACCATTGCGCGTCTATTGAACGTGATGGCGCAGCTATTAAACATGATGGCGCAGCTATTGAAAGTGATGACGCGTGTGGTGTGGTTGGATTGACATGCCTACTAATTCGTTCCAAATTTTAATTAATTCAAAAAATGTATACAAACACTACAACCAAAAACAATGAACATAACACAATCTGTTTTGTATTTATTGTAAAAAAAATTCTTACATAATAATCCCTGGGAATTTATTTAAGACAAGTTAAATAGGGGAAATAATCACTCTCTTAATATAAATATGTATATATCTACACATTTAATTATAAATGTCAAAACAAATAAATAATTACTTTTGAATATAATGGAATTGTTTAACACTATTCGTGTTTACAAAATGTTTTTGTCTATAATCAGAATTTAATATATCGTCATCATAAATGCTAAAGTATTACAGCATAATGAAAGTTTTTAAAATCAGAGTTGCTATAAAACCACGCTTTTCGATACAATAGAACAACATTCGGAATAACACCTTACATTTAACTAAATATCGGTCTTTTAGTTCAGATCATATATTTTAATTAACTTATGCTTTTGTGTGTTCTTTAAAGATCATTTTTACTTTCTCGTATATACGTAGTATAGAGAAAGTATTGTAATCGTGCAAAAAAAAAAAAAATCGAGATTTTTACAAATCTCGACGTTTTACACCTCACTGATACGGAAAAACATAATTTTGCAATCTTGTCCGTATGTCTGTGTGTGTGTGTGTCTGTGTGTGTGTCTGTCCGTGTGTAAACACGATAACTTGAGTACCGTTACAGCTAGGTTGATGAAATTTCATATATAAGTATTTTATCAAAATCGTAGATCCGTATCAACTTTTGAGCGATTTCCGATAACAGGAAGTGGTACTTTTCCTACTTTGAATTTTTTAAAAGCCTATAACTTGAGTACTATTTCAGATAGATAAATGAAATTTCACATGTAAGTAAAAGATCTAATTCTCTACCTTCTGTTAAATTTTGAGTAATTTCCGTTGACTGGAAGTAGTAATTTACGCTACTTCCGATTTCTCAAAAAACTAATGTAAATTTTTAAAGTACTAATAATATTGCGCACTATTATACGCGTTTTTATTCGGCGTTTGCTTGGTGCGCAATGTTTTTTTTATGAGATTTTTTTCTATTTTTAAAAGTTTAAGTATTTAAAATGGATTAAAAATCATAACTATATCCCCAGTTACCATCCCCTGTTGTTTTATATAAGAATATTCGAGAAAGTTTAGGGGAGATCACTACCGGTTTATTTAACATAGTGATAGGTATGGGTTAGATCACTGTATTGATCACACACTTTTTTTACTGGTAATTGCAAAAACAATATTCACAGAGTTTACGCTGCATGAAAATAAATCTTGTGATTTACATAGATGTGCCGACCAAAAATATATTTTTAACAAATATCATTGTTTAAAACTTTGAGTTTAAAAATTTTCCAAAAAGGCGCCACTTTGCTGAAAATGGCCATAGGGGGAGCGGCCGCTCCCCCTGCGTACGCTATATATATATATATATATATATATATATATATATATATATATATATATATATATATATATATATATATATTCCATATACCCAAGTAATTTTTTTTCTGGATGTCAGGGGCGGAGCTACAGTGTCGCCAGACCCCGCAATGCGGGTGGGGGGGGGCACAGCCGACCAAAATGATTTTTTTAGTTTAAAAAATTAATTTTCTTGCATTTTTGACTTAATGGTTGTTTTGTAAAAAGATTACCGTAGCTGCGGTTGGATTATCTTTATTCTGTAGACACCAACCCAAGCTCGTGTATATTCTTTTTCTCTTTGTTTCTAAACCACCGTGAAAGCCGAGTCCTCTTTCACCTACAATCAAACTTATCAAAGATAAGCACACGTTCAAACCACTTCCATGACTTATTTCCCTTTTATAAATATTAAAATTAGGGTGCTTATAAGCTCCTTTTAGTAGATTTTTACTAAACAAATTAAAAAGCAATTAATTCTTTTAATTATTATTTTTTAATAAATTATTTACTATAGAATGACATTGTATAAAAAGGAAATGTATTTAAAATTAATAATATAAATTTAAAAAAAACAAACATAAAATAAACATAACACGAGACACCATTACTTATATAAAGCTTTCAGAAATTATATTCTTTTGACCGTATATCGGTTATGAGGTCGTATAGAAAATAAACTAAAACAGACCTTAAAGACACGCATTACCGACCCTGATTCATCTGCTAGATCTAATAACGATTCTGAGATTGTTGCAAATGTTTTGTTGCCTGAGAAAAATAAGAATACAGAAAGTGATGTGAACGATCCTGATTTAGAGACTATCAATTCAGACAATGGACTTTCTAATGAAAATAAAACTTCATGTGAAAATACAGAGCCAGAATCAACAAAACATTTTGCAGTTCCACTTTCGCTTTCTACAAATAAAGCCAAAGTTACATTAAATAACAATGTTAGAAACAAAACGAAATCAGAAAAAATAAACGAAGCACTAGATAAACAAACAACAGAAGCGTCAAAATTAACTATCCCATCTTCTGTTTATCAAGAACCAGACTGGAGTGGTTTGACTGATCAGGAATACAGTTTTGATGTGCTAAAAAATGGTAGTATCATAGACACAGTATGTCTTACCAGTAAACCATTTTACATATTTGGACGTCTTCCACGCTAGCTGTGATATTACACTGGAACATCCATCTCTTTCAAGATATCACGCTGTTGTGCAATTTTCAACAAAAGATAAAGGATGGTTTGTCTATGATCTTGATAGCACACACGGAGCTTGGGTTAATAAACATAAAATATCACCCAAGAAATACCACAGACTCAAAGTTGGTTATATTATTAAGTTTGGAGGAAGCTCAAGGCTTCACATTTTGCAGGGCCCTCCTCAAGATCTTGAAGAAGAGAGTGAGATGACCATTACAGAAATGAAAGCTCAGAAAGAGAAATTTCAAAAGGAAGCTGAATTGCTGAGACAGATTGAAATGCAAGAAGAAATGCAAAGGATAGAGGCTGAAAAAAAATGTTAGAAGACAGAGGCTGTGGATGGGGAATGGATGATGATGCAGAAGAGACGGAAGAAGGAGAAAATGCTTTTGCATCTTTAATAGCAGAAAATGAAAGTTTGTATATTGATGATCCTAAAAAAGCTTTAAAAGGATTTTATGAAAGAAAAGGTTGTGATTTATCTGATTACCAATTCACAGAAATAGCTATGGGTAAACACAAATGCAGATTAGAACTTCCTGTTGATGGCCCAAATGGGGAAGAACTTGTAGCAGAAGCCATTGTTTCAGGCAAAAAGAAAAGATGCTGTTGTTGCTTGTGCTTTAGAAGCTTGCAGAATTTTAGACCGACTGCGTTTGTTGCGGTCATCTACGCATGAAAGCAGAAAGCGTAAACAGAAGAAATGGGAAGACGATGATTTTTATGACAGCGATGAGGACACTTGTCTTGACAGA